ATCGATGTAGTAGGTGGTAGTATCGTGATAAGTTGTGCTGAAAGGCCCTCGACGCCGTTTCCGATGTAAACAACCAATTAAATGCGTAACTCGATACCCCTAAAGCAGCTAACTTCAGGGTCGTGCTACCAAGTATTGTCCTCCAACTCCGTGCCACAAGGTTGCAGGCTATTTAGTCCCATAGTTAGAATGACAGTGCTAAACTTAATCTCGTTCGATCTGCCCCTGTTCGTCGGCCCGTAGTCTACGGTAATTACGTAGGGGGCTATAGGAATTCAAACATCCAGGTCGTAAAGCGTCCAGGTCTCGCAGGTATCTCCTGGCTTGCCACCTCGTAGTTCTACTCAACTCGGCAGGTAGCAATAAATGAAGGCACACGAAAAGCCCCATTGCTATTTAAACGGACGCCGAAGGAATATGAACCTCGGTTGTTTCTTTTGACACTCCCGTTCATCCGATGTTTAATCATGTGTTATTGTTGTCTGTTATGTGTCTTAGTCTTCATCATGCGTATAGTATTTGGGTTTAGTTTGACACTTCGCAAAACGTCAACTAATAATTCGTAGCCCTTACAACATATAGTCATCAATCCTTTCAAGCCCTAAGTCCCGGGAACAACGCCGCTGGCTGTCAAGTGTTAGCGGGCCGAATCCACCCCTGCCCAGTGCTTGGCAACAGTGCTCTCTACGCTCTAACTCAGACCAACTAATTTTCATTCTTACCTAAGCTATGTTGTCAACTTCTCAAGAGACTAGTTAAACAATCTCGGAATTCTTTTTCAGAAAGCTAAAGCATACCGGGACTTCCAGCTTTGGTTGATGCTCCTAGAACGGCAGCGAGATGGGCCCGGTGACGACTCATCAAGAGCTATGATTTTACCACTCATTTTACATCAAGGTCCAACGTCACTACAACATTAGACAGTTCCGTACTGGATACGGATGGGCACGTACAGTGGGATGCGCAGCACTATTTACAGAACTAGGATTATTATTAGCTTGAAACGAAAAATAGGTGACCGCCGACCTTCCCTCTTGGGAAGCTGAGCGCTGCCAAGTACAATGAATAGCAATTGACTTGGTATATAAGTATGCCTTCGCCGGCCACGATCTTCGTGAAATCAAGTCGATCCACGCATAAAGATGAAGTCAGTACTCGCCTTCTCAGCTCTCCTGTCCCTAGCCTGGGCTCAGGACCTCTGCAGCCAATACAGCTACTACTCAGCCAACGGGTATTACCTCAATAACAATGCGTGGGGACAGTCTGCTGGAACTGGCAGCCAGTGCACACATGTCGACAAGCTCTTGAACCCGGGCGTCCAATGGCACGCGGAGTGGAATTGGTCGGGCGGCGACAACAACGTCAAGGGATACCCTTATTCCGGACGCGAGCTGCCGACCAAGAAAACGATCAGCAATATCGGCAGCATGCAGACGAAGGCGGAGTGGCGGTACCTCGGAGACAACATCCGCGCTGACATCGCATACGATATATTCACGGCGGCAGACCCAAACCACGCTACCAGCAGTGGTGACTACGAGCTTATGGTCTGGTAAGGATACCTCTTTTTTTCTTTGCTCGAGTTCATGGGCCGTGAACAGTTATAACTCATTCGAATCATAGGATTGGGAGAATGGGCGGTGTCCAGCCGATCGGCAGTTCCACTGGAACTGTCAACGTTGCCGGTCAAAATTGGGATTTATGGATTGGGTATAACGGGCCTATGAAGGTCTTCAGCTTCGTAGCACCGAGCGCGATCGCCACCTTTGAGTCTAATATTAAGCCCTTCTTCGACCACATCACCAATACGCAGGGCTTTCCAGCTTCATCACAGTATCTGACCAGTACGTTTCCTTTGCTTTCTTTCCGCTTTGGAGGAAATAAACCAAGCTAATTTCATCTCTATAGCCTTCCAATTTGGTACGGAAGCCTTCACTGGAAGTAATGCGCGGTTTGACGTCTGGTATTGGTACGCCGATATCAACTAATTAAGGTGGCCCAAGATGTGTATATACCTATGAACATCGAAAGCTCACACATTATAAAGGAGGAGATCGTTCGTACTTCTAGCTAAGAAATATACGGACGCTCGTTATCAAAAGTAACTATTCTACCATCAAGTTTCGTAGCTCCAACCCGAACCCAATGATAGCAGTTTTGTGATACCAGCTGCGTATACTAGTACAGAACTTGGATACTAGGTGTTATTTTGATATATAACTGTAGTATCTGTCTACACAGACGTATGCGAACAACGAATGGCACAAAATACTGAATTCACTCCTGAAACGTTTCTATACTCTAGCATGGAGTGCGTCTTGATCACTTGATGCTCCGCGAGTAGCCCAGAGACACCTTCTTGGGCTGGACTTGTCCCGGACTGGTCTAACTACAAGATTCTTATAAGAGACTAAGTCTTTAGTTCAACCTAGAGTACTTATACTAAACCCCGCGCCGCTAACCCACGGCATAGATTTAACGCCAATTTAGCGCAGTTGGCTTATCGTGCACCTAATTAGGTAGGTAACCCAGGACCTTGCCACCCAATGAATTCCATCTTGAATGATAATATACGTATACTCTGCTGATCTCTACCTAGGTAATAATATGACACTACCGAAACTACCGAATGCCCGGAACCCGTCCAAGTCCCGTGCGGCCGTGGTGGTTTCTGCGGTGTGGCTTCTTTATGTAAATGCTTAGCTACTTAGTCCCCGTTCGCACCCAACTTTTGCGTGAATGATTATAACTATCGAGTTTTCTCAGACATCGTAACCTAATCTGCTTGCCGCTTTAACTTCAACTTGTCTATTCTAGAAGCCTGAAAGAGAAAAATGGGTGCCCATACAGAATACTCTGTCCCACAGGAGGCAAAAAGCCTCTTCGAAGATGGTATATTGAGAAACCCATTACACAAAGGTCTTCCGTCCGAAATTGAGGCGCTTGCCAAACATGTACACTTCGAGGGCTCAAGCCGACCCAGTATCCCGATAAACTGGCGCTTTGCTGAAAGCATCTCTGCACTTAAAGCCTTCGAAGCTACGATGTTGAATTTACTTGTGTCACGCAAGTATAATGTCGAGCCTTCAGAGATTACCATCAATACGTAGGTATATCCATTCATTATGGATCATAAACGGGTGCTGATTTGAATATTTAAGAGATCACGCAACATTATTCATTATGAGTCCTGTGGTGGCCAGGTGGCTCAAGGACGGACAACCCACCCAAATCGACTTATTCGGCTTTAAAATGACGCAACTGTTTCCTGACCAAGATCTTCATCGTGTAAATGACGGGTTACATAGAACCTTGGCTACAAATATCTACAAAACTAAAGATGGTAGATGTTACCATATACATGGTAGTCCAACCCCCCATTAACTATGAGATTAACGTAATTGAACGCTGAATTAACCGCCTTCTCTCCAGGGAGCATGAATCCCGACCCGACCTTGACCGCCTTAGGTCTGCCACTATTCGGGAAAGAGGACGATACCTATGACTCGGTAGTGGAAACTATCCAAGCCAAAGTTTCTCAACTTGACTCGGCCGAGATTGACCAGCTCATGAACGATCAGTATAAGCAAGCTGGAACGATTGCTTGGACCTCGGAAGAGTACTTCGCTAGCGAACATGGTCAGGCGAATGGGCGCATCGGACTCTACGAACTGTCGAAGACCGGCTCGCAACCAGCATCATGGTGGCCGACAGACAACAGTTACCCGCCCTCTCCTATGAGACCCCTAGCTAGTCTTAAAGTTGTTGATCTCTGCCGAGTCATCGCCGGTCCGACCATCGGCCGCAGTCTCGCAGAGATGGGTGCTAGTGTAATGCGGATCACTTCCCCACACATCACCGATCTGTCGGCCCTTCACCAAGACCTCAACTGGGGAAAATGGAACGCATCTTTACACCTCAAAAACGAGGATGACAAGGACAAGCTAAGAGCTCTAATCAGGGAGGCGGATGTCGTCGTAGACGGATACCGCCCAGGTGTCATGGAGCGTCTTGGATTCGGCCGGGAAGCTATTTTCGACCTGGTAAAGCACCGTGAGCGTGGGATCATCCACGTCCGAGAAAATTGTTATGGCTGGTATGGCCCATGGAGTCACCGAAGCGGCTGGCAACAGATTAGTGATGCGGTTAGTGTATCCCCCAATCTTGATTCCCATTAACTCATATTCTGTCAGTGCTGTGGCGTGTCTGGAGCTTATGCGAAGGCGATGGGCAATGAGTCCGAGGCTGTAACCCCAGTCTTTCCAAACTCCGACTATTGGTGAGTGAGAGTAAGAAAACACCATTGATTAATTCCTCTAACCGTCTGCTAGCACTGGTGCTGTCGGTAGTGCAGCGGTCTTGGATGCGCTGATCAAGCGTGCCCAAGACGGAGGCAGTTATGGTGTTGATGTAAGTGAATCCCGGTCGTTGATGGTTCTTCGGCAGACTTACGCTCTTATAACATAGGTCTCTTTAAATTACTACTCACAATGGCTGGTCCGGTCTTGTGGTACTTACAGTGACGAGGTCTGGCAGGAGGTATGGCAAAGGCATGGATCGCCAACCTTCCGCCATTACCATGCCATGCCATACCTACTGCCAGCTATGATGAAGTTGCTCGCGCAGCACGACTCTGAGACCCTATTTAAGCCCAGTTTCTTCCAAATGATGGAGGCTAAACACCTTGCAACAACTTTTATACGGCCGAAACCTGTTGCGAATTTCTCGAGTGGCCTTGAGCTTAAATATCATGTGGGCACACGCGGCAATGGCGTCGATCAGCCTGTTTGGCCGAAGGATCTCACAGTAGAGGTTGTCACGGGAGATAATTAAATAAACGCGGTCTACCACCAACTACCCTAGCTAGCCATATTTGGTTGCCTGGTGGTATGCCTTGGGGGGGTTGGTCCTCTCCGGCAGAATAAACAAAAAGTATAAAAAAAGTAATAATGATGAGATCCGAGTGACAGAGAGAAAAGAAGAAAAGGAAAAAAAAACAATGGCCAACGGGGGAATCGAACCCCCGACGCCTAACGATGCGGAGTAAAGATATTGAGTAAGTATACTAACGCTGAACAACGCTGGAGTTTGACATCGCTAGGCCGTACCAACCCGGCCATTAGACCTCAGGATTAAATCTTGATATATAGATAGTGCCCGTTGGGTCGTTAGGTCTACGTTGACTGGGCTCGGTCCACTCTTGGTCTTGTTAGAGTTCGGGACACGTAATCCCGGGGGACCTGGAGAAGGTTCGAAGCCAGAGACCGAGGCATTGAACTCGAGACTTGAATCGAAAAGATTAGGCGCAACTAGTGACTGCGTTAAAGTACTTACGACCTGTGTATGTTTAGTGTCAATGATCGTAGTATCGAGGGAGTATTGTTATACTTCTAACAATCAAGTGCAAAGCCCAAGCTATTTTGTTGCTTACAATATTATAAAGTAGCTTTAGATGATTGATATAACAACCAAGGGGTGTTCAATCAGACACTGAAATTAATGACCCTTTTTGCGAATTTCCTTGGACAACGGTTTTGTTTACATTTGATGTACGAAAAGTAATCTCTGTTAATAACTGTCCAGACCGTTTACTGAGAGTTACATGTACGAATCTTTTAACATAAGCTCATCAGTATTCCACCAGCGATTATACTATGCGATCAATCATTGAGGTAGCATCGGGATCACGCTTCTTTTTGAAGATATCTGAAACTCAATAGACTGTGGCGGAAATAAAGCCTTGAAATTGAAACCTCCGCCATATGGGCATGAAAAAAACTAAGTACGTGTGCTTCTCTCTCCCCTATACTTTTTTGCCTTTAAAGATAGAATGCAAGAACTTAGACATTACTCAAGGGAGTATGTCCTCGCCTGGCTGGATCTGACCGCTTTGGACAGCAGCACGGTGCCCGCGGGCGACCATACCATAGGCCGGGAAATAACGGTCGATGAGGGGGAAGATTTCGGTAGCCCCAGGAGTATTTCGCCAATCACGCATCAATTCACAGACGATGGCAAAGTAGGACAGAATTTGAACTCCGGCGTCACGCATTCGGTTGTTGCCGTGTTCACGAATGTCGACGGTGGTCGTGCCAGACGCCTCGTGGTTTGCAAACACGCTATATCCGGCCTCGCGAAGCGAGAGTGCGCAGAAAGCGGTGCCTGTATTTAACAACATGATCAGCCATAGATTCAAAGGTGTCAAGACGGGCGAGGGCGAACTTACAGACTTCGGTGACAATTCCGGCTATGATGATCTGGGACTTGCCGGTCGCTTTGACTGCATTTCTAAATTCCTCGTTATCCCAGGCGTTCACCTCGCCTTGACGTTTTACGACTGAGACGTCTGGATACAGCTCGAGGAATTCATCGGGCAGCGGACCATTGGGGCCTTGCACCAACGATGTTAGCTTCGGTGGGATATAGGCGAGATTTTGAACTCATACCGGTCTCAGCCGAGGTTGACATGACAACAGGAAGGCCGAAGATCTTGCCGAGCTCGGCATGGGCGTATATGGCGTTGCGATACTGGGTCGAATCATAATCTCGTGCTATATGGAAGAGGCCTTCCTGCATGTCAAGAATGACGAGAGCCTAGGGAATATTTAGTCAAGTGACAAGCGGAAATCTAAAATTTTGGTAGCCTAACCGCATTGCTCTTGTCGAGTCTTTCGTACTTGAATGAACTCATAATGACTGTTGATGTGACGTTCGGTTATGGGAGTCTAAGTTATTGAATAAAATGCCTGAAAGAGATGGAGAGGTGATTGACTAATGGCTGGAGAAGTGGTGGTTAGTAGACGGAATCATAGTCCTATTTATATTGTTCCATCTGGACGTGTGCTCTACGGTGTCGTCGTTATTATTCTCCTCAACCTCTCATGCTGCCGACTTGAACTACCACCCGATGCTCTGGGCCGGGTGGTATTTTGCTGCATGGTTAATTATCCTTGTCAAGGATTCCATTTTCAGCATTACAGCTGCAGGATTCCTTACCATCACACTCGAACCCTTACATTGGCTTATGAAATCTTACACAAGTTCCACTTCTGACCGAAGTTCAGCGATGCAGCAGCATTATACTGAAGCGATGAATTACGATACAATCTTTTGACAGGAGAATAGCCAATCACGTGTGAGATACGGACGTGTTGCATAAGTAATGCAATGCAATGCAATGTCCCACCCACTGCCCAAACGGCAGCCAATCGGATTTGCGCGAGGGGAATGAGTAGCTCTCAAGTGTGGTGCTTTGTAAGATGATGACTGATTAGCTGGGTCTGGACTATGCTAGGAACCTTTGGTAACTCATGACAAGACTTTGACAAACATGATGCTATCGTGTGTAAGGCTGACTTTTAATAATTGTAGATCTCGATTCTACAAGAAAGTGAAGTAATCGTTGTTTGTACGATGGCTCACCTTGACATTCCTATTGTAGCATCGCAGATACTACGCTGTTTTCTTGGCATCCCACATGGCCGAGCCTAACTTAGACAGCCGCTAAGAAGTTTGACGATAGGCGACACTGAATACACGATAATACTTGTTTAGCCTTATTTCTAAGAGATGACTTGATTGAGCTAATAAGAAAACGATATTCATAAGTATTCACTAAGAATTAGCTATTTTGCCGGCAACACTTTGCATTGCAGATTATTGATGCTTTTACAAGCGAGGGAGAGAGTGTATTTGTGGATCGTGAAAAGGCTATATATGGCATTCCCTACTTCCTCTACGGACAAAGAAATGTGAAGGACAACCATTCGACAACTACTAACCGATTCAATATTATCTTCTCGGCAATCTATATGATATCAAACACTTCAACTCTCTACCGTCTCTATTGTTCGTCCCATCAGTTATAACCCAAGAAGTATGTATCGAATTCCAGTTTCTTCTTTAGTCTGCGATTGTGGCGAGGTACATGGGCATGTTTTTGTCCAAGACTGCAGCTTTGCGTTCTAACATCTCTCCAGTTCCCGCTAATGGCTTGCTACGGATTATCTTTATGGCAAATCAGAGTCTGACAGGTTTCTCTACGCGAGAAGTTGCTCTAGATCCGCTGGATCATCATTAACATGATAGCGGTTGAAAGCGGCGACAGCTCAGCGATTTGGCAGGCTAGCTTGTCCCCAGCAGAAGACATATGGGACACCGGAATTTCCAAAAGGAGGTTGCTTCCGGCGCCTTGGTCGGCGTAACTTTGTCGGCTACATGATAAACAGCATATTGTAGAGGAGACGCTCACCGTGTAAGTGGCGATCTGGCATGAGCGGCTTTGAGTTCGGTTGCATTGAATCTTGCTTGGGCTGGGATGCATACTTTTTTGTCTCGGCTGATGAAGTGTACACTTCGTTGGGTGGAGCCAAGTGAAGTTTTTGCTAATCAAGGTCGAAAAACTAGTGAGACTATGGGCGCTTTTGCAAGATAATACGAGGGACGATCTATCGGCCAGAGTCACCTGTGATGCTACCTTAGGGTCCTCTTGTCTTCTTGGTATGTTTAGACTGCCCCTGAAGCGGTGTGATTGCTCATATCGGGCTGGAAGAAAAAGTCCTTCTGAAGTCCCAGCCAGGGTTGTGCATAAGCAACGTGTCACTGACAGGAATTCTAGACCATATTTTCTTCTCCCTGGTGTGCCTGGTACTCACTGACAGCTACGACAGCAGCTGGGAATAGAATCTGCCCTAAGCCCCCCTTTTACTTCCATGGTACATGATTTGATTATTGCAATTCAGCTAAGAAAAATTCTGGTTCACGCTACAGCTTCTATCCTCTCATGTTACTACTACTTTTCGTTGTGCTCATGTTGCCTAAAATGAGTGAGCAACTCGAGAATTGGTAGTAAGACTTGGGCTCCGATATCCAGTACAGAGGCCCGCTTCCGTTCATGGTGTAAGCACCCCGGTTAGACAGAACGCACACCGATGTCATCGCCATGCAGACGAATCACCACTAACGAGTTGGCATTGGGATGGAGATGGTGAGGGGCTATGAAAGTCCCCATACAGTTCAGAAGTCACGCATGAGGGCCACGTCGCCGTTGCCACATCGGGCTTCGAAAAGGGGCTGTAGCTTTTGAGGGGGAAAAGCCAACGTGATGATGTTGATCCTAAATGCCGCATAAATATGGATTCTAGTCTAGTAGCAGTGGTAAGGAGGCAAACCAGTCATTGTGGGTGATAGGGTCCTAACGTTTCGGACATGGCTCTTACACGAGCTATCTTCCATGGACAAGCCTAGCCCAGCAGGAGATCAAGGATCCTTCGGCACACCAATACCTTGGATTCAGTCCTGGACCACACAAAGGCTCTGATATCTCCAAGAATGACCTCAGAATGGATCAGGGGCTAATGAGAACTCTGAATCCCGACGTATCATGACTGAAGGCACATGCAAACGATAACCAAAGATTAAGATCAACGTGAAAACGATAAGTACTTTGAGTCTGTCATGGTAAAAATCATTTCCCCTTATACGCGAAAAGTGTGTATTCTCTAAGCGGAGTGACGACTCATTGAAACGGGGCGCAAAAATTAATTATAGGCGGTCCCATCAATTTCAATGAATTTTCCGGACCAATGGCCCGTGCCCCTTGACACCCTGATACCAGCGAGCAAAAACAGAGCAGTGTCTATTTCTAGCTGGGAATGAGGAGAACTATCGCTGTATATAGCAACGAAGAATGCAGCATGAGGAATATGCGGAAACAATCGCTATTGGATACTGAATTTTGGGAGCTGCTATTACCCATTGATTGAGTTAGTATTTGGATCATGTCCGCGTATCTGAATATTATCTTACATAGTCAACCGAGTTTGGATGTAAAGCGTCCGCCAATCGTATTATATCTCCTCTTTCGATGTGGTCCACCCATCTATTAACCATCTTTAGGAACACGCCTGCGCTACATTGCAAGGTAGCTTCGTAAAAGTCAAGCTTCACGTCGCTATCCCGCAGAGGCCAGCCAGGCCAGAGCTGTTTCAATCTTCTCTTGTATACCTCGCGTAGCTGCGTCGCTTCGTATTCCATCATATGGATCCAGTAGAGTGAATTCTTGCCCTCATTATCAAGTTCGTCGGGGTCATCGCAATTCTGTGAGGCCAGAGACTCCTCAAGTGTC